TCCGCCCGCCTCGGCCTCCCAGAGAGCTAGGATTACAGGCGTGAGCCACCACGCCCGGCCCTGAATCCAAATTTTACAGAATAAATCCTTTTATTGAAAGGGGTGCAGCAGAGAAAGATAAAGCTTTTCTTGCCTCCTTTGATGCTTAAAAAAAGAACAACCTTGAAATCAGAATGCCACAGGGTTCCCCTGATGGTAAGTATTTTTGGCATTGCTTGCCATATGGTCTCTGTAGCAATTATTCAACTGTACCATTGTCGCATGAAATCAAGCCATAAACGATACATATACTAATGGGCACGGCTGTGTTCAAAAAACTTTATTTATAAAAACAGGCCAGACTTGGCCATCGCTATAGTTTGCCAACCCCTGTTTTAGAGAGTTGTGATGATTAAATGGGGAATGGGAGACTTAAACTATCCCCAATTCAATCATTTAAATGCCTCATATTGGCTAGACTTCTATTTTAATTTATGTGAAGAAGCCCCGATGGAGAAGACATAGGTGAAGGGAGGGAAAGAAAAAAAAATTGGGTTTATAAAGCTACAGTACAGTCAAAAAACTGTAGGGAAAAAAAATTTTAGGAGCTCAAGTTATAAGAAATAGCTCAGTGAGAAAAATGAGGGTTGAGGGGAGTGACAGTGCTACACCATGGGCAAAGAGGAGCAGCAGCCGATTCTCACCCACATAAGGGCTCTGCTCCCGGCACATGTTAAACAGAGGGCACTTTCTTCATATGATTACGGTAAAAGCCAACCAGATCAATTTGCTTTCCCAAAGAGGCTCAAGCAGCCTTATCTGTAACTGCTTCCTGAGGAAACTATACAATCTAAGATCAGGGGACTAGGATACTCCTGGTAAACAGTTCCACCTGATGGATGTTGGCCTCTTGTACTTTGATCTCCTGGGGACTGGAACGAGATGGATTCAGGAAGTAGCCATGATTTTCTACAACACCTGGAGTCTTTAATAAGCAAGAGATATTCAGAATTACTCCCAGCAAGGTCTTCTGGTACATCTGCCCATTGCTAGGGTCCTTGGGCTGAATATATTCTACAAAAACCTGTAAGAGAAGACAAGTCCTACTTATTTACCTGTATGGTGAGATAGGGTGATGGGGTGAAAGGGCCTCAAAGACTTAAGTCTATACAACAACCAATCTATCTTATTGTATCAGTAATATTATAGCATACTCAGGATAGGGAAGCATCAAGTATTACATCTCCAGCTCAACTGAATATATACCACCTTTTAGACCTACCTTTGCCAAATCCTTTTGCCTAGTGAAATAAAGAAGAATATCCAGATATGCATACAACAGGATCTGGCAGAGCTCTAGATCTTTTATTCGGCCCAATAAAATATCAAACACTGGAATCATGACTTCCGGAAATGTTCGAACTTCCTCATCTAATATCAAGGCTTCAATGACCTCTTCCAGAAACTCAGTTACATCTTCAAAATCTAACAGAAGACAAATGCGAGAGAAAGGAGGCCACAGGAATTTTTATATGCCTTTACACACTGGCTCTTTACTTCTGATAATTATTATTTTTTTAGACATTATGGGGGAGGGGAGTCTCATTATGTTGCCCAGGCCAGAGTGCAATGGCTATTCACAGGCGTAATCAAATGGCACTATAACCTTGAATTCCTGGACTTAAGGGATCTTCCTGCCTCAGCCTCCTGAGTAGCTAGGACTAAGAGGCATGTGCCACTGTGCTCAGCTTAATTCTATTGATATCCAACCTCAAAGATGAAGGTATGATCTCTCTTCCTTAATTTATACCAGAACCGGCTGGGCACAGTGGCTCATGCCTGTAATCCTAGCACTCTGGGAGGCTGAGGCAGGAGGATCGCTTGAGCCCGGGAGTTTGAGGTTGCTGTGAGCTAGGCTGACGCCATGGCACTCTAATCCGGCCAACAGAGTGAGACTCTGTCTCCAAAAAAAAAAAAAGCTACCTGTTGGGTTTTTTAAAAAAGACTGTCTTTAAAAAATTCTAAGTAGTTCTTTTCTTTGTCTCACCTTTTTTTAAGAGGCACTTTGTGAAAAAGGATAAGTGAGTAAATGCCTTAGACATTACATATATATACACACACACTGTTTTGAGGAGCCCAGTTTCCCCCCCTACCTCTCATGTGTACATTTTTAATTTTTCGTTCTTCATCATTCAACTCCTTCAGGGCACAGTAAGTGGGATTAAAGGTGAGGAGCCGAGAGGATCTGGGTTTGCAAAATGGCTGGCATAGCTTCAGGAGAGCAGCACCCAGATTCAGAAAGAAGGCATCCGAGGCATACATTTGGAAGAAGATTTCTGGCATCTGATTGGCCCAAATCTTGGTGCGGCCTGCATTTGCATGCAAACAGTTTCCAAGCCAGGACAAGATACAGTGTTTGGTTTCTGGAGAGAGCTGGAGTAAGTTCTTCAGCATCTGGTAGATCTTTTCATGGAACTGAGCCATGAACTGTTTAACCAGAAAACACAACCACAGAACATTCCAATTTCACAATCCTAATATTTTTTTACTTCCAAACTTTAGCAATTGGCAGTTTCTAAAAATGTGCTAATCCTAATCTTTGCCTTCACTCTCCCTGTGCCTTATCCCTCAGTTCTGATTTTCAAAACATCTATTTCTGGGCACTTATGAGGGACTTTCTGACCAGCTGCCAAACTGCAGATAGCATTAGACAGTTTTAGAGCAGGGGTTGGTAAACTTTTTCTGCAAAGGACCAATGTCAGGGATGGGGAACCTGCGGCCATAAGGCCACATGTGGCCTTCTAGGTCCTTAATTGCAGCCTTTTGACTGAATCCAAATTTTTTTTTTTTTTTGAGACAGAGTCTCACTGTGTTGCCCAGGCTAGAGTGCCGTGGCATCAGCCTAGCTCACAGCAACCTCA